GTTTGGCGGGTCTGGGCTGGATTCAAACCCACCACCTTAGGTGTATGTGGCTGGCGCCTTAGCTGCTTGAGCCACAGGCGCCGAGCCTTTTCATGAATATTTTGATAAACTCATTTCTCTTATGTGTCTAGGATTGGACTTGCTGGTTCATAGATGTATTCACCTGTTTGGCTTTAGTAGATACTACCACCAGTTTTCCAAAGTGGTTGTATGAATATATGAAATAGAAATATTTGAGCTAACTCTTTTTATTTTTTTTCTTTTTGCAGTTTTTGGCCAGGGTTGGGTTTGAACCCACCACCTCCAGTATATGGGTTTATCGCCTACTCCTTTGAGCCGCAGGCGCCGCCCTTTTTTTTTTCTTTTGAGACGGAGTCTCATTCTGTCACCTTGGGTAGAGTGCCATGGTGTCATCATAGCTTACAGCAAACTCAGTCTCTTGGGCACAGATTATCCTCTTGCCCAGCCTCCTGAGTAGCTGGGACTACAGGTGCCCAGCTATTTTTTGTATTTGTATTTGTATTTTTTACTAAATCATAGCTGTGTACATTAATGTAATCATAGGGTATAATGTGCTGGTTTTATATACAATTTGAAATATTTTCATCAAACTAGTTAACATCACCTTCATGGCATTTTCTTAATTATTGTGTTAAGACGTTTATATTCTACACTTAGTAAATTTCGCATGTACCCTTGTAAGAAGCACTGTAGGTGTGGTCCCACCAATTACTCTCCCTCTACCCATCCTCCCCCCTCCACTCCCCCCCTTTCCCTTTCTTCTTGGGCTATAATTCGGTTATAGCTTTCATATGAAAGCTATAAATTGCTTTCATAGTAGGGCTGAGTACATTAGACATTTTTTCTTCCATTCTTGAGATACTTTGTGAAGAAGAATATGTTCCAACTCCATCCATGTAAACATGAAAGAGGTAAAGTCTCCATCTTTCTTTAAGGCTGCATAATATTACATGGTGTACATATACCACAATTTATTAATTCATTCGTGGATCAGTGGGCACTTGAGCTTCTTCCATGACTTAGCAATTATGAACTGGGCTGCAATAAACATTCTGGTACAAATGTTGTACAGATGTTGTATATCTTTGTTATAATGTGATTTTTGGTCTTCTGGATATATACCTAGTAGAGGAATTGTAGGATCTAATGGCAAGTCTATTTTTAGATCCCTAAGTGATCTCCAAATATCTTTCCAAAAGGAATGTATTAGTTTGCAGTCCCACCAGCAGTATAGAAGTGTTCCCTTTTCTCTACATCCACGCCAACATCTCTGGTTTGGGGATTTT